GAAGGAAGGAAGGAAGGAAGGAAGGAAGGAAGGAAGGAAGGAAGGAAAGAAGGAAGAGCCATTGTAATGCAGTGGTTACAATACAGTACTGTAAACTAACTCTGCCCACTGCCAGCAGTTCCTGATCCTGATTGGCTCAAGGCTGACTCATCCTTCCATCCTTCCGAGGTGGGTCAAATGAGGACCCGGATTCTTGGGAGCAATATGCTGACTCTGTAAACTGCTTAGAGAGGGCTGTAAAACACTGTGAAGCAGCCTATAAGTGCTATTGCTATTGCTAAAACCAGATGACTGCAGAGAAACACAGTCTTTCCATTCCCCCTCCCACCATCCTGTCAGCACCTATCCTTCCACCCCCCGACCCCCACCCCCCAACTAATCACAACTATTGGTAACCATCCTTCCATCTCTCCCATTGCCCGTTAGAACTGATGAAGCTTCCTGGACTGGAAGTGAATTGTCTTCTTCTTGTTGTTCTTCCTAAAAAAAAATTCAGTCCAGTTGGCTGTTTAAAAAAAGAAAGAAAGAAAACCTTTGAGACTTGGAACCTTTCTTTAACTGACATTGCCTGCAGTGTCACAAGTGATGCAAAACGAAGAGCTTCTCGGGCTAAGAGGAATGAACTGAAACTTTTGAAAACACGGCACCAATAGTTTACCGGTGGTGAAGTAGGATGTTTTTGGCAGAGACAAGAATTCCAGGCTGTTTCTGACCTGTCAAATAACTTGGCAGGGTTATTTAACAACCCCCCACCCCACCCCCACCCCCAAAAAAGGGAATTGTGCTGAGCAACAGATTTTTTTTTTCCTGGTTGTCAAAGGAACACCACCATCCTCATTTTTAAATAATCGAGTTTGATCTTTTTAGAATAGAATAGAGGTGGAAGAGATCTTGGAGGACTTCTGGTCCCGCCGTCTGCTGAAGCAGGAGAGCCTATCCAATCTCAAACAAGCGACTGTCCAGTCTCTTCTTAAAAACCTCAACCCTAACTTCTGGAGGCAACTTCTTTTTTTTTTAAACAAATTTTATTGATTTTACAAAACAATACACAAAACAAACAAAACATAAAGTATAATGACATAAGAAATCTTTTTCTAAAAAAACCAATACAACATCTTATTTAAAGACAGAATTATTCCAAGTTATCACATTTCCAAACAAACACAATTTAATATATATATTTACCTTATCTGTTCATCTTCATATCTTATCCAGGAACTTCTCTTTATTACTTCCTTTCCTTCTATTTATTCAAATTATATCTCTTTAACTTTAGATTGTATACATTTTTTATATCCATCTGTCTTATACATTTTCATTATTCTCTTCCAATACAAAAACAAACAAGACATAAAACATAAAAACATAAAACATCTTTTCTGATCCCGGGTTAAAACTCATCGTACAGACACCACTTCAAAAATCATGTTCCTTTTATATATCATTCCATATCTTATTACCGTTTTCCATTTTCTATATAGCTTCTTCCTTTTTTTAACTCTCTTAGTTTTATTCTACTTATCTCAGTTCAAGTCATAATACTTATCATTCTTTGTCTGTTCTCAACTATCCATTCATTTTTTCTCTTTAAACAAAACCTCTCCTGTACACTAATTGGAGTATGACGCCTTTAACTCTTTCCCCTAACCTAATAATACTTAATATCACACATAACTTGTATTGGGATTCTGTTTAGCACATCCTAAAGTCACACAATATATTATATAGAGAGAAAAAGAAAAAAGAAAGAAAGAACAACAATAACAAAGAAACAAATTTATAAATATATAATATAGCTAGTACCCCTGTCAAAACCATTTTAATCATACCTATTAATACTCATTTATATCTTAAACATTTTATTCTAAAAATGCCTATAATAATACAATCTTATGTACCTTACAGAATCCCTTTTTCAATTAAATTTACCCATTGTCTCTAAATAAATTTTGTTTCTTTAAATCTTGCTTCCCATCGTTGAGACTTCTCACCCCTTCCTTTCTCCCTTGCTTATTCTTCTCCTTGCCCTTTTTACCCCTTTGTCTCTCCACCTCCCTTTTCTTCTTCTGCTTTCCCCCTTCCTGTTGTTTTCTAACCTTATATCCACCTTTCAACTCATTTTTATCTTTTTTGGTTGTTTTTTTAGGTTTTAAAATCCCTTTTTCCTTTTCCTCTTCCTCCTTCTTCTCCCCCAATAGGATCACATGCTCATCAAAAATACTTTCTTCTTTGTCCCAATTATCCTGCTGCACAATCAATTCTCCATAGGAATGCACTGCCATTTCTAAAGATTGAAAAAGAATGTCCAAAGTATCTTTCCAGTCTTGTTCTTCCTTTTTATATTTTGGATATTCAGTTTTAAATTCATCCAAGGATGATGCCATTATAAAGAGGAAAAAATTTTCCCAAAACAACCACCCGAGTGTTTTTAAACAAAGAAAAAAATTTTCCCAAAAGATCCAAAGTCACCAAACAATCCAGATAGACTATTTCTTTTAGCACTTTTTCCCTTCTTCCATTTATTTTTCTGGGGTTGCTATTAAATCACAAAATTCCAATTAAAATATGTCTTTTTGAAGTCTTATTAATGTTCAAATGGCTCTTTAAAATTCTAGGCAGTCTGCTCCTTATTTTCAACTTCTACTTTAATTTTTTTCCTCTCCCTTCCCACTCACAGCAAAAGAAAAAATTTTCTTTAAATATTTAGAAATCCATATCCCTTTGGCATTAGCATAGTCTTTAGCATTTAGCATACCTTCAATGCGGGTTCTCCGATTTCTCTCAGAGCTGTTCCGTTTGGAAGGAGAGTGAAAAGAGAAAAAGTTTTCCCTTTAATATCCATTCGCTGCTTACTCAGTCTGGGAACAATGTGTCTTTAGTAGGTGTTAAATACCAGGATACTTTCACTATTCCTTTGTCCCTGTCAGCAAAATCACTTTCACTTCTTCACAAGCTCCTCCAGCACTTTCTTTTTCCGGCTGAGCTCTTCTATGTGGCGGCCATTACAGACCGCTGCTCAGCTGCCTTCGGAGAGGGAGATTTAGCCGGCTAGGGAAGAGAGATGCGATGTCTCTCGTCCCTGCCAGAACCCCCCAGTCTTCACCACCTTCTACAAAGGTGGCTTAGCCCCGAAGCCAAATGGCTCGGGGCACTCAGGCAGTGAACACAGGCAGAGACGGCGCACAGTCGCGGATTCCTGCCTGCACCGAAGCACCACAAGCCGGAAGTGGCTTCTGGAGGCAACTTCTGTTCCACTGATTAATTGTCCTCCTTGTGAGGAAGTTTCTCCTTAATTCCAGATTGCTTCTCTCTTTGATTAGTTTCCAACCACTGTTTCTTGTCCTGCCCTTTGGGGCTTTGGAGAATAATTTGACTGCCCCTCTTCTTTGTGGCAGCCCCTCAAATACCGGAATATACTGCTATTATGTCACCCCTAATTCTTCTTTTCTTTAGACTAGCCCCAAACCTGCAACCGTTCTTCCTATGGTTCTCCAGGCCTTTGCTCATCTTAGTTGCTCTTCTCTGAACTTTTTCCAAAGTCTCAACATCTTTTTTTGTGGTATGGTCACCAAAAGTGATCTTCACTATTTTCTGATTCTTGGCAACAGCTGAACATGCACTTTTCTGCTCTTTCCCCCCAGACACCTAAGATTTTATGTCTCACAGACATTATTTGATCCTTTTCCTCTTGGCTTCAGATTCCGGCTCTGACCTTAGCTTGAACTTAAAATTGGCAGTTGGCATTTGCAAAAGGAGAAAATTCTGGGCTTTAGACTGCATGCTGTGATGCTCATACTGAATCTCAGGGTGTTAGGAAAAGAGGTAAAAAAAATAACCCTTAGGACAAGCAGGGAGAGAGAAACATAGAAAGGGCAACATGTCCTTGGCAAGTGATCCTTGTTTTACATCTTAGAATAGCTGAAGCAGAAATAGGGCACTAAGTTAAAGGAGCCATGGCGGCGTAGTGGTTAGAATGGCTCTGCCCACTGCCAGCAGTTCGATCCTGACCAGCTAAAGGTTGACTCAGCCTTCCATCCTTCTGAGGTTGGTAAAATGAGAACCCAGGTGGTTGAGGGCAAGAGGCTGATTCCATAAACTGTTTAGAGAGGGCTGGGAAGCACTGGGAAGCAGTATATAACTCTTTAAGTGCTCTTCCTTCCTTCCTTCCTTCCTTCCTTCCTTCCTTCCTTCCTTCCTTCCTTCCTTCCCTCCCTCCCTCCCTCCCTCCCTCCCTCCCTCCCTGTGATTAGTACTGCAGGCTAACTCTGCACACTGCCAGCAGTTTGATCCTGGCCAGCTTAAGTTGACTCAGCCTTCCATCCAGATTGTTGGGGGCAATAGGCTGACTCTGTAAACCACTTAGAGAGGTCTGTAAAAGCACCGTGCAGTGGTATATAAGTCTAAAGCAGACAGACGAAAGGAAAAACCAAGCAATTAATGTGATTTATGGTTTGGATTCCAAATTCCCAACCATTGTTTTAATTAGTCAGGGTTGTTTTGAAGGGGAGTCTCAAGAAATCTCGAAAAGAGAAACTGTCTCTCTTTTCTTTCACCTCCCTTTCTTAAAAAAAGAAAGGAAAAAAAGAGAGATTTCTAATTCTCTCACAGGGAAGAATTGCTTTCTTTTGGAAAACTGCTTTGTTGTGCTTCAGAATGTAACGGAGATAGTTTAGAGTGATATGAAGAAGGTAGATGATGCCAGCCAAGAAGTGGCATGGAGTCTTCAGAACAACTTGTCTCTTGGCTTTGTCTCTCTACAAACAAGGGTGGACAAGGTGTGGCCCTTCAGCAGTTGATAGTGTTTTATACCATTTTTGTCTGTTAGCCAGACTAGCTTTTCTTGTAGAGAGAGACGAGATATGAAGAAGATCCTAACAAGTTGGGATCTGCCAGAGTTAATGCACCAGCCCTGCCCAGCAACGCTTCCCGAGGTTGTTTGAATTTAACTGCCTTTTCTGCCTCGGATGGCTGTCTCGGATGGCAAGAATGTAGAAAAATAGGGTTGGAACAACAATTTGGGTCCTCATTTTACCCACCTCAGAAGGATGGAAGGCTGAGTCAACCTTGAGCCAATCAGGATCGAACTCCTAACAGTGGGCAGAGTTAGCCTGCAATGCTGCTTGTAGCTACTGCATCACCATGGCTCTAACTAACTTCCTTTCCTTTTCCTTTTCCTTTTCCTTTTCCTTTTCCTTTTCCTTTCCCCTTTCCCTTCCCTTCCTTCCTTAGCAATAGCACTTAGACTTATATACCGCTTCACAGTGCTTCGCAGCCCCCTCTAAGCGGTTTACAGGGTCAGCATGTTGCTCTCAACAATCTGGGTCCTCATTTTACCTACCTTGGAAGGATGGAAGGCTGAGGTTTGGCAGGGACCTTGGAGGCCTTCTAGCCTAATCCTCTCCCCAGGGCAGGAGATCCTATAGCATTCCATACAAATGACCATCCCATCCCTTCTTGAGAACTTCCAATGTTGGAGAATTCACAGCTTCTGTAGACTAGTTGTTCCACTGATTAATTGTTCTGTCAGGAAATTTCTCCTTAGTTGTAGGTTGGATCTCTCTTTAATGATCATCCATTGCCCTACCCCTTAGGTGCTTTGCAGAATCAGTTGACTCCCTTTTCTTTGTGATAACCCTTCAGGTTCTGGAAGACAGCTATCATATCACCCCTAGTCCTTCTCTTTGTTAGACTGGAACAGAACTAGTTCCCTCAGTCATTCATCGGATGGTTTAGCTTCCAGACTCCTTACCAGAACCAGGAAAAAGAAGTTAAATTTTGTCCTACCACTGGCTTGTGCTAATTCCCCACTTTTTCTTTGCTGTCTCCTTCCCTCTTTAACTGAGGTCTTCTCTGGGTGGTGTTCTGACCAAGTCTTCCTGAGACACCAACAAACACACATAAAATCCAAAGCCCTTTTATTTTAGTTCAGTGGCTGTGAATTATCATCATTCACAGCCCGGAATGAGTTTCAACCAGTTATAAATAGTCCCAGGAACGTCTGCCAAAGTTATTTGGAAGAATTCTGATAAGAACGCACCTTATCTGACTTGAAGTGCTGCCAACGACTAAAGTCCCAATTAGTCTTTCAAAACCAAAATGGAGAACAAATTAAACACGGAGCTTTCAGAGTCCAGACTGATCAGAGTGAACGACTTTGCTTCCTGCAAAAGTTTCTCTACCTTTGCACTTCCTTTATTCCTTATGGGCAGGGCAATCGCCTCCCAGCCTTACTCCCGAGTTGCCCCTTTTGTCTTAACTGCTCTTGCCTTCAGGCAGCTCTGTGCAGACACACACTGGGAACAGGCTCCCCTTGTTCCTCTGCCTCATTGCTGCCAGGCTCCAGAGTCAGCACCCCATTCCCAGATGGTCCTGGCCCCATCTCTGCATCAGACGCAGGACCCTCATCCGAGTCCTCCCCAGACTCCTGGACTGGTCCCCGTTCTTCCCCACAGTCCGATTCTGCTGGCGAACCACAACAGGTGGGGAGGACTAGACCCCGCCCTCAATTCCAGTCGGGAGAGATAAGAACAATAGTGGAGCTACCCAGAGCGACACCAGGTTAAATTACTTGAAAAAAGGGATGGGGGAAGCTCTTCAAAGGTTTCCTAAATCAGAGGTCTCCAACCTTGGCAACTTTAAGACTTGTGGACTTCAGCTCCCAGAATTCTACTCACAAATCATTTTCCATTTATCTTCTTTCTTCAATTCTCTGAAATGTAGCTTTCGTGAATTTGTACAACACCTGGAATAATATGCAAATCCAGCTTGGTTTAATCTGGTAGGCCAGGATCCCCAAACTTGGCAATTTTAAGACTTGTGGTCTTCAGCTCCTAGAATTGTCCAGTCTGGACTTCAATTCCTAGAATTCTTCAGCTATACTGGCTGGAGAATTTTAGGAGTTGAAGTCCACAAGTCTTAAAGTTGCTAAGTTTGGGGACCCCTTACAGAGACAATGAAATTGTTGCTCTTTCCTTATATAGTTAAAAAAAAATGCAAAAAAGAGAGAAGGAAACTGCAGCGATTCACTTAACAGATGTGCCAAGAAAGATCATAAAATGGGGCCCAACCCACCTAACCAATGTTTCACGCAGCGACATAAACGCTGGGCTCAATGTTTTGTAAGTCAAGTTCTATCTCTTAACACTTTTCTTCTTCAAAATGGATGTGCTGTGCTGGGATAATGCCAGGGATGTAACTCTGAAAATGAACCTTGTGTGTTCAGCATGCCATGTTTCCCTTTGCACAGATTCAGAGACAGCCGGCAATTCCGAAACAGGGGACCCCGATACGACCACCCGGGAGGCTACAGGTCCGAGCAGTGGCACGAGAAAGGCTACGGCACTAGATATCAGCCGCACCAATACGGACAGTCGTCCTATCCTCAACATGGCTGGCCGCAGCGCGGCTACGGATCCTATTTCCAGGAGCCGCGATATGGCCGCTACTAGCACGCCAGCCGGCCTTGGCATTTCAGTGTAACCGAGCGCAGCTCTCAGGGGTTCCAAAGAGGAACCTTCATTTTATTGTATTTCAGACGTTTCATACATCACGTAGAAATATTTTGTGTATTTATATGCAATGGGTTCAACCCCAAAGACAAGAGGTGGTGATGTTGGAAGGGAGCAGGTAAGCTGTGAGTTTGTTGCTCTGCTGTTTTTTTAATCTTGACGTCTATAATTTGCTAAAAAGGAAACTGGGGGCCGTTAGGAGCATCTGATTTTGGCCAAGAGGAGTTGATCTTTCTCCTGACTTATGCAGTGTTGTTACCAATGAGGAACACTATGAGGAATATCAGTAATATGTCACGATGGGGGAAAAAAAAAATCGGGTTGCATTTGTGGGTTTTATTTTGTTTATGCTGTGTTTATCTGTGCAGGGCGATTACCCTTCCAGTTTTAATTTGCAAGCGATTAAGCTAAAATGTCACATAAACAGGGAGATGATTGTAAAACGTGCTGCATTGAAGGCCTGTTTTGTTTCTGCATTAAAGCAACATTTGTTGTAATTAAATGGCATCCCGTTGTATCTGTGCTCGGATTTCGGCAAAGTGGGTGATTATCATACATGCAATAATATACAACGAAGGGCTGGGTTTATTTTTTTATTTGACGTATAACCAGGGGTGGGCTTCAAAAATTTTAGCAAAGGGTTGTCTGCCCAGTTGTTGGGTGGGCGTGGCCACGGTGAGCATAGCCTAGCCGGCCTCCTGCACCATGGCAAGGAGGGGAGCGTTTTTGCCATCTCTGGGCTCTTGTTTAATGGATCAGCTTCATAATACATTTTTTTTAGTACAGCATCAATTACACACCTTAAGGCGGGGGTCCCCAAACTTGGCAACTTTAAGACTTGTGGACTTCAACTCCCAGAATTGAAGTTGAAGTCCACAAGTCTCAAAGTTGCCAAGTTTGGGGACCCCCACCTTAAGGGTTAGCCTGTCTTGATACAACATGCTAATTCAGAGTTAAACTAAACTGTGGATCGGTGAAATACGCAAACTGCCAAACTCCATTAACACATTCAAATATAAACTCGTCCTACTGATTGAGCTTGTGTGTGACACACTGAGCCATGATGGTATTGCAAACATAAGTTTTTTTTAATTTATAACCTTTTCTTAGAATAAAATACAAGAAAATTAAAAGCAAATAATAGGACACCAGAGGGGAGGAGAATTTTTTTTTTAATTGACTTCTGACTCCCTTTCTTGCAGTAACATCAAACCTCAACTTTGTACTTTTCCATAATAATATAAGCCAGTTGTTTCTATAACAACAAATCAATCTAATCCGTAAAACCCAAAATCAAACTTCATTTTTTTCCCCACCTCAAGAGCAAAATCCATAAGTGGTCGCAAACATATCCTTGAAACCGTAACTCTTACAAGATGCTCAACGTCTCATTAAGCTGTAGTTTGCTGTACTGTGGTTACTGAATAAACCACAATGACCTCGTGCAATATGCTGTGGCTTATTAACTACATTGTCTTGTTTCACATCAAGCCACAAACAAAGAACATTTTGTTTCCCTGTATTGCATTCTGTGCAGGGATGGGCTGCTGGGGGTTCGCACGGGTTTGGGAGAGCTCTCAAACTAAGATTCTGTGCAGTGTAGAGAACTCCCAAATCCCGCTCCTGGCTGGCCCGGCCCAGCCCACGCGTCCCCATGTGGCCCATTTTGGATGCAGGTAAGTGCAGGGCACTCATGGAGGGTCGGGAAGGGTGAAAAACAGGCCTCCCAGAAGTTTGGGAAGGTCGGAAATGGGCCTGTTTCCAGCTTCCAGAAAGTCCAGAGCCCAGAGAAGCCATTTTCAACCTCCCAGAGGCTCAAGGAAAGCCTCCGGAGCCCGGGGAGGCCAAATCCCCCCCACCATGGTGCAGGAGGCCAACTAGGCCACGCCCACCGTGGCCACGCCCACCTAGCAACCAGGCAGAGAACCCATTGCTAAAAATTTTGAAGCCCACCCCTGATTCTGTGTTTCATTTTTTTTATTGATAAATAACTCAAGACAGCAAACGTACCTACTTGTCAGGGTTCCAAGTAACATCTGCAACAGCATCAAAACTCCAAGGCAGGCATGTTCCTCAAAGTACAGATTTATTTGGCATGTCTCTAGTGCTGACAATAACACTGTTTCTTCCTCCTATATTCCCTATAACAGCATCCCTGTGAGATGGATTGGGCTGAGAAAGAGAGGGACAGGCCCAAAGTCACCCAGCTGGCTTTCATGCCTAAGGCAGGACTAGAACTCACCCTCTCCTAGTTTCTAAATGAGATGGGCATTGGTTTCAGATGCTAGAAGTTATATGTAGACACACTGGTTCTTCATGTGTCCCATTAAATCACAACGTGGGGTGTTGGAGTGATGAGTTGTTTAAACCCCAATGGGTTATCTTGCAAATTCTGCTTGGTGGCTTACAATGGTCGTACTCCAGTGATTTATTTAATAAAGCAAAATGGACGAACCGCGAGTCTGTTTGGCATACGAGGCAGAAAATCCCCTTCACAGTTCTGCCTTGAAATAAAAATATAATCCACCACAGAACAACGGAAATTGCCTTTTTGTACGACATCCAAATTCAGTGGCTAACTAAAAGGGCCTGACGGATATACAAGACCGTGATTTAAGCTGGCAGAGAGTTAAGTCTTACCTGCCTTACTATCAAGGGATGCCTAGAAACCCTTCGGTTTCACAGCCGATCTGATAAGCTCCATTAGTGTAGGAAGAACGGGGCCTTTTAATGCCATTTGATTAAGTTCCTCAGCAGGATGCATCACAAACAGATTTGCCGGGCCCCGAATATAAATATCACGATGTACTGCTGTTACAGCAAGAGAAGGGTAAAGAAAAAAAAAGGCTGCTGTTATAAACAAGAGAAGATGGGAAACACAACCTGCCTTTATAAAAGAATGACTAAAAAAGCTTTTCGTTACAAGTCACGATATGTTTATGAGATGCATGCGCTGTTAAAAAGAGCATACAGAAGCTGGGAGCTGTGGGTTTTGTTTTAACATGTGATCTTCTCTTGCCACAGATCTCAGCTTGTCTCATCTAGATCAGGGGTGTCAAACTCAAGGCCCGTGGCATGGGTCAGATTTGGCCCACTGGGTACTTAAAACTGGCCTGCAGGGCCGTCCTGAAAACAATGAAGGACCAGTTCACGGTGCCTCTGCCAGCGAAAACAGAGCTCGTGAGGGCCAGGCAGCACCCTCCCAAGCTCTGTTTTTGCTGGCAGAAGGTTGCAAGAGGCCATCGCAGCCGAAAACAGAACATCCGCACATCAGGCCCTGGACCCAGCTCTTCCTCCTCTTCCTCCTCAGCCACCTCCAGACCTGGGGGTTGTTGACTCCCCCTCTGAGGGCTGATAGATGGCCCAGGCTCTGCCTCTGTCTCTCTCTCTCTCTGTCCTCTTTCTGTCTCTCTCTCTCTCTGCCAGCTCCATTCCCTTTTCCCCTTCAGAGCTCTCAGGTTGCCCTGATGCCCTGACCCTGACTCCCAAACCTCCCCTTCCTCTAATTTGGCTGCTGGAGGGGCCGGCGGCCGACAGGCCACAACAAGACGTCCTCCTGCCACCTGTCTTTTACAAACAGCTTTTCCCGAAATCCTAAATTTTGGTCAGACAGGGCACAGAAGCCAGCGTGGTATCACAATGGCATTCCACAAGGCAAATTGTTTTTAAAAGGAAATAAAGATTATGGAGCAGTGGCTTCCTTTCAAGTTATCGGACAGCTGGGGTTGTCCGAATTCGTGCTCACAATTACCTTAAAAGTGGTTTGGCTGAGCCACAGTGACTGGACCAGCGAATGACGTAGTTTTCTTCCCATTACCCAGGCTGAAGGCTATCTATTTCTGCAATAATGCCTTTTAACCACGAGGAAAAGTAGGATGTTCTGTTTTCTTCATTTTTCTACCCTTTAGAACCCAAAGAGACAAATTAAAACCTTTAGGAGAGAGCAGGCACTGGTCCTTCCCACATGCCTGGAATTGCCCTTACCAGCTATATATAATTATATGCAAATGAGTGCTAAATTAGGATACTCATTCCAAGCACTTCCACCCTGAATGGGTGGTGTGTGTGTGTGTGTGTGTGTTTTAAGAAGCCGGTGCCAAGAAACTCATTTCCTCTCTCTAACCTCTTTCCTTTATTTCAAAAACATGTAGAACCTACACAGCATCTTATTCAAACATCCAATTAAGATATTTCTATCTCATGTTCTATTTTTAAAGGCAGTCAAAGTGGTTTTCTGGGCACTGACCTTCAGAGACCAGAGGAGCAGAGTTCCTTTTGACAACAATGAAAAAGGAAAAGTAAAATTTATTTTGTGAACTCAGAATGTTGGAAAACAAACCAATGGGCCATCCATCAAATCAAAACACAGTTCTCACTTGAGGCATATATTACCAGGCTCAAATTATCCCACTCCAGACAAAGACCGAATTCTTTGGAGAAAGCTCTAATGCTGAGATAGACAGAGGAGGAAAGAGAATAGAAGATGACCAGCAGCAGAGTTTAAATAATGACGAATGGATCTTTGGAAGAGCCAGAAGGAACAAAGTGGGCCAGAAACTAATGGCACATTATCAAATCAAATCATATGTAATCCTCTTGCCATGGCTGTGTATCCTGCACCATCAACTATTACACAAAACAACAAGCTATCAGACATCACTCAAAAGCTAAAAAGAGACAATCAAAGGTTTTTGCAACATTCCTCCCAGTTTGGATCCTGAATTGCTGGTTTTTCCTCTGACTTCTGAGATTTTAGCCATCAAAAGAAGGAAAATTCGGGATGATTTACTTCTGTCAGCTGAGCTGACGTGGAACCAGCAGAGAGGGACCCCAGGGAAGGACAAGGACAGGAGGCCTAGCACATTTAGGCATTTTAAATGGGTACTAGAATAAATAATTAATGCACTGTTTTATTTTTATCCGTATCCATTGTTTGCTTCGCTCCTTGGATAGATTTGCTGCTGAAAGGCGGCTTATAAATATTTCATTAGCACAATGTACACAGTGTTGTTAAACCTCTTCTACCTTCTGAATAAGTGAGCAAGAGAAGGTCACCTTCAAAGGCACAGGCCACGAGACAAGAAAAATTACAGAACAACATGTAGGGGGAGTTGTAAAACAACTGCGGCTTTTAAATAACTGTTTTAAAAAAAACAACCACCGTCAGCATGTAAGTGCAGAGAATAAAGTAAATGAAGATTAGACATTTGTAACAAAGAAAGAAAAGCCTGAAATTGTCAGGCTGGCAAGTTGTGTGTCGGTTGTCCATTGTTTGCTCTTCTACTCTCACCAGAG